TCCTGATGGCAAGTTAGCGCCTTGCATGACATTGGTGTGTGAGTGTGTGTGTGTGTGTGAATGTGTGAATGAGACACAGTGTAAAGCGCTTTGGATAAAAGCGCTATATAACTGCAGACCATTTACCATTAGGTATGTACACATATTCAAATGTACACATATTCAATTTGATTAAGCCTCTTTTTAAATAAATGTTCATCAGTCGCACACAATTTGTTAGCTAGGTTTCAAACATTAAGGTTTTCTGAAGGAGCATGTTCTAAAATAAAGTAAACTTGTACTGTAAAGCATGATTTGGAGACTTTCGTTTTATATACTTAAGACTCTGTTCCAAGACTGATTCATAGCATCTATGCTTATGGCACAAAGGTATTTTTATTATGATCCCTTTCATGTACCCTGAGACAGTGGAGCCTTTGCTGTAGTAAATCCATATTTTAGAGGGGCCAAGGGCTCTCTCTCTCTATTACCACTGATGCTCTTGGAACACAAGCTGTCCTAATGTCCAGAGTTATAAATCATACCATTCCATATATCCTATTCATAACAGCTTTCTCTGACTTATGATCATGTGGTGTTGGGTCTCTGACAGCCAGTGCAGGGCTCGGTTCTCAGGCGAATTGTAGTGTAGGACACAGTCCCTGTATAAACAGATTGACTGGCTCTTCCATCTGTACTGCATCTTCTCTCAAATGTCACCTTTTGTGACTTTACAAATAAAAGAATAAACCTATACAAATAAAATTTAATTGAATATTCAAAGTGTCAGAATTTTCATTTGCAGGGTATATATCAGTGTCCAATCTTATCCGAAAAGGGCCGGTGTGGGTGCAGGTTTTCATTCCAACCAAGCAGGAGCCACACTTGATTCCACCTGTTTAATCAGTTCATCTTGGTTTTCAATAGACTTAGGTGTGGCTTCTGCTTGGTTGGAATGAAACCCTGCACCCACACTGGTCTTTTCCCGTATAAGATTGGACACCCCTGGTATATATGAGTATAGCAGCAATTTTAATGCATTCTTGAGTAGGTGGAAGAGACGTGTCTCAAATGTCAACCATAATTTTTTACTTCAAAACCGATGCCAATGAACCCAATGTGCATGTTTTTGAAGCTATCCCTGTAACTCGACAGTCATAGAGGGATTCTATAATTTTTACATTTTCTTGTTCTCTATATTCAACACTTGTTTTCACATAGCCCCAAGCAAAACTAAGCTTCAATTAAATAATTTATCTCGAACTGTGTTTTTTGATTGGTTCACTATATTTCTGGTTGACAGATTATCAGATGTCTCAAAGCTTCAGGACACAGAGTTTGACTCAAAGATCCAGTTACAGTCTGTGTAGAGTTACACATGTTCCCCATGGGTCCATGTGGGTTTTCACCAGGTACTCCATTTTCATCCATCTCCAAAAAACAGGACTGACGTGCACACACAAACAGTTGTATATCATAAATATGGTTGTAATAAAACAGCTGTATTTAGAAAATGTATTGTGTTTAAATGTGTCTATTGCATATTACAATTGTTTTTGTACAACAACAGACATTTTGCAGTAAAATGGTTTGCAGTGTGTGCTAATAGTGCTAACATGCCATACCAAAGGATTTTTGGTATGGCATATGAGCTGTTCAGTGTCAGTGTCAGTAGGGCAGCAGGGTGACCCTGCAGATCAGCAGGGTGATCTGAGTCCTGCCATTCTATTGATAACCAGCATCTTGTTGATTAATTGCAGGGATAGAAAGAGACTTGAACACAATTATCCTTGCACTTTTCCTTATAATTCCCATTGGCTGTGTGAATGTATTACTTTTCAATTTACTTTCTGACCTAGCCTTCTCCGTTGGACACATAAATGCACATAAGGGGTGCAACTAACACAGATGGCTCCCCAAAACATTTGGCAACCTGCAATGTCTCATTTATTCATGTAGCAGACACTTTTATCCAAAGCGACTTACAAATGAAAAAATAGTTTCCCTAGTTCAGTCTCACCTAATCTACAATTTAACCTGTTTTAGTTACAGAATGTAACTACAGTAGTACCCACACCTGAAGCCCTAAGTTTGCAATGATAATTAATGAACCTTAGAAATATTACAGTTGAAATAAAGTATATCCTAATATTCCTTCATTTCTTTGGTAGTCACAACAGAAGGGGAACAGTTGGATATGGAATATTGACTGTTTTTCCAAGCTGAATTGCCATAAAGTTATTTTTTCTCCACCAGACGCCCCTTATAAGAGACAATATTCAACCAAGCACACTAGAGAGGCTTCAGAGCCATACTAAAGCAAATGCATGGCAGGTGTCAACACACCAGAGAGGTAAAGGGAGAAACAGGTGAAAGAAAGGAACAGATTTTCATGCCATAGCTTATCAACTTCCAAGGCCACCCACTCACATGCTTGGAAAAATTGTCTGATTCCTTCCTTATAACAGAGATCTGTCTTTCCTCACTGAGCTCACTTTAGCTTGGTTGGCATTGATATGTTTTATTCTGTAATGCCCCTGGCTTAAGCATAAAAGCTGTTTGCCAGGTTGTGAGTAAAGAGTATAATTCATGGTAATAATGTGCCTGTCATGTTTTACTATTCCAAAACAATTTGATAAAGGTTTTATTGCCTCATGCACTCACTTCATGAAAACATTAATTCATTCTTTCTTTCTTTCCTTCTTTATCAGGGCCAGGTCTTGGTGGATCTGAAGCCTATTTCAGGAACATTGGCCTTAGGCAGTATTACACTCTAGATGGGATGCCAGTCCTTGCATTGCAAGGAACCATGCACACAGATTCACATATTCATTGACACCTAGGGGCAATTTAGTGTAGTAAGTCCAATTACTGGTTTTGGAGAGGTGGAAGGAAACCAGAGTACCAAGAAGAAACTCACTTGGACACACAGAGAACATGAAACTTCACAGATGGTAACCTGAGCTCAAGATCTATGGATCTGGGATGGGGCAACATGTCATGCATGAATAGAACATGCCCTTCCAAATACATCTCCTTAAATGCATACTGTATGCATATAGGCAGCTGATATTGCACCAAAGGGGGCATCAAAGAGCAATAAAACACTTACAATCCTAGCAATCTTTTTTTAAAGTTTCATTTTTATTGAACATTTCTGCTAAACATTTCTAATGAACATTTCTAATGACCATTTCTGCTAAACATTTCTGCTAATCTTAATGAACTTAACCCACTTGGCTATATTTCAAAGGATTATCTGCCCCAACTGAGCAAGTGGAAGATTGGGGTGTTCACAATTGCACTCAAGGCACATATCTTGTCCTGTGAGAGTCACTCTGAGGCCAGATAAAATGCAATTGTTGTATATTTATTGAGCACCTGTAGAGTTTGGAGTCAATGTGTCAGAGGATCTAGGGAGAGGAGGTACATCTGTGCATAAGAGCTTACACTGTCATCAGTACAGTACATTCTTATAAAGAAAGGCCTGCTGAAAACGTTTGCTATCACCAGCCAAAACTCAGGCTGAACTGGTCAAATTTGTAGGAACTGGTCAAATCGTTGCTGTTCTACCAGAACAAGTGCTGGTAGAAAGGAAAACAACACAACAGAAATGCAATAATCTAGATATCTAGTCGAGATATTTATCTTAGATTCAATTTAGCAGTATTGTTTTGGTTACTGTGTCAGCCACAAAAAAAAATAAATAAATAAATAAGATCTAAGATGCTGTCACAAAAAATATACAGGGAATCTGAGGCAGAAATGTGTGCCGATGCTATATAGATTTTTGCAACTTACAGTCAAATTTTAATTCCTTTGCACAACCAACCCAGTCTGAATCAATCATGTTTCAGCCTCAGTTTCCTAGTGAAATTATAGAACTGTCTTTGCTAAAATCAAGACTGGAACTGAGACTTGAATTGGCTGGAAATGAGACTACCACTCCCTTCAATATTTGATTCTGAACGATAGCATGCAAAATCAGATAAAGTCATTCTCTGGGGCGACTCATACCAACTAAGAGTTGTGCAATGACTCAGATGTGTACATTGCATCCTAAAAAAAGACAGGACACAGCTGCTGCAGAATCTTGCTTTAGTCCAGTGATGACTGCCATTCCACTATGGATTCCATACCCTTTACATCATTATTTCATACATTGATTTCCATACCCTGCATAAATGTAAAATAGTACTAGATGTTATCTGCATAAAATCAAAGACATTATCAAGTAATAACAACATCACAATTTTATTACATTATTGTTTTCCATTGTGCTGAGAAAGCAATTGTATTAAAGAAAATATGATAAGCAATGAATCAAATGCTGATTAAAAATGATGGGCCTTGGTCACAAAAATACTCTGCTCTAATGGATATCAAACAACTGCAAACACAACACAGGTTTATAAAAAAAATAAATACAAATCTCTCTTAAATATTGGTGTCCAACAATTATTGGCACCCCTATGAATTCCTATGAGAAAAATATATTTGAAGTAAATTCACACTGATATTTAAATTTTTATTAATACACCTGGGTGACTAGGAACAGGAAATTATTCAACTATTACTTCCTGTTTCACAGGGGTATAAATATGAGGTAACACAGGCCAAATTTCCTTACTCATGTCAATAATGGGTAAGACCGAGGAATATAGCTGTGATGTGCAGCAAAAGGTTGTTGAGCTTCACAAAATGGGAAGTGGCTATAAGAAAATAGCACAAGCATGGAAAATGTCCAGAGGATGGTTCAAGTGGCAAAAAAAATTTCCAAGGATCACAGCTGGAGAACTGCAGACGTTAGTTGCATCTTGGGGTCAGAAAGTCTCCAAAACTACAATCTGAAGTCACCTACATCACCACAAGTTGTTTGTAAAGGTTTCAAGAAAAAAAAAAAAGCCTCTACTGTCATCCAAAAACAAACTCAAAGCGTCTTTAGTTTGCCAGACACTACTGGAACTTCAAATGGGATCTATGGTCAGATGAAACTAAAAAAGAGCCTTTTGGCAATTTGGGTGGCTGTGGCGCAGGTGGTAGAGTGGACTGTCCACTAATCGTAGGGTTGGGGGTTCAATTCCCGGCCTCCACATGCGGAAGTGTCCTTGGGCAAGACACTGAACCCCAAGTTGCTCCCGATGGCAAGCTAGTGCCTTGCATGGCAGCTCTGCTACCATTGGTGTGTGTGAATGGGTGAATGAGACACAGTGTAAAGCGCTTTGGATAAAAGCGCTATATAAGTGCACATTTACAATTTTTTTGACACACTCAGAGAGGTAGCTATATGGAAAAGTACCTCATGCCCACGGTTAAATATGGTGGTGGCTCTTTAATGTTTTGGGGCTGTTTCTTTGCCAGAGGACCTGGACATTTTATCATGGACATTTTACCATGGCATCATGGATATTAAATGAAAGCCTGACGGCCTCTTCCAGAAAGCTTAAAATGGGTCGTCGTTGGATCTTCCAGCAGGACAGTGATCCAAAATATACATGAAAATCAACACAAAATAATTTACTGATCACAAAATCAAGGTCCTGCCCTGGCTATCCCAGTCCCCTGATTTGAAACCCATAGAAAACCTTTGGGGTGAACTGAAGAGGAGAGTCCCCCAGTGTGGACCTCAAAATTTGAAGTATCTGGAGAGATTCTGTTTGGAGGAATGGTCTCAGATGCTTTGCCATGTATTCATGGACTCAGTGCTGTTATCTTGGCAAAGGGAAGTATTGAATAAAACCGGTGCCAATAATTGTTGCACACCTAACAACGATATTTTTTAAAAACCTGTTTTGTTTGCAATTGTTTGATATCCATGAGAACAGAGAATTTTTGTGATTTTTTTTAAAGTTAAAATGGTAACAATAAACAATAAAGACTATTTTTCACAGCCTTCTTTGCTCATATTTACCAAGTGTGCCAGTGGAGAGCACTGTATAAGCTAGACACATATGACCACTGCTGTGCATACTTACTTTCTTCCTTGCCTTGCACATACAAAAGTTATTTCAACGGTTTGAGGTTTTAAAAATAAAAAGTTTATGTTTTGATTACATCAGCAGGAAATCATGTGGAACCAGTGGCACTGAGCATGATTTTGGGGAGGCATGCATGTTTATGATTGTGGAAGGCATTGTGGCAAGGTTAAAGGAAGAGTGATAATCCTATGGGCAGCAGAGGGGGTGTGATAGGCAGTAATGCCATAGCAGGTCAACATCTACCTGTGTAATTAATTTGAAAAAAATACATGATAATCTCACACCAACATGTACAGCAAATAGAAACATAATGGTTGACAGGGTGGGATAGTTTGACACACACAAAAAAGGTGTTACAACTAACCACCAATAAAGACTTTTTTTTCTTTCTTTTATTTTACATTTCATACTTAAATACTGTACATTAACTTTACAGGAAGCAAACAATTAATTAAGGTCTATCTAGCGCTAAAATCTTAAAAATAAATAAATAAAACAATTTCACACAGTTGTAGTTTAATCTGCAGATGTATGTAGAGCACAGTTTTGAGATAATCCTTTCAGAGGTGATTTAATGTAAGGCATCACAGTGAGGTAATGAGATGAGATGAAAATACCAGAGAATTCACTTGATATCCTAACAGCCTTGATATTGTTGACTGTTATGTCAATATATTGTATGTTTAAACAGAGCAATTTTTTTCTCTCTACCTAAATTAGTCATGGTCAATTCCCACACTCCAGTTAGGGCTCGCCTGTCCGAAACACTTGAAGCCAGCCGACCACATCTCTTCAAACTGCTGCTCATGCAACTCACTTGTAGGGAAGTGCTTATCCACCCACTTCCACGTGCATGAGCGCCCATGATTTCCTAGTGTAGCTGTTATTGATAGGGGAGAGAGTCATTTTATTCCTTAATGCATCTTATACATTCACATAACAAAATGCAACACATTAGATAATATTCATGTATATTTTATAATGCTAATCATTTTCCTTCCACCAATTAAATTATATTTTTACACTTAAACACAATAAATCAGCAAAAATAAGAAAATTAAGAAACTTTGTCTAGATTCATGATTACATTTATAATCCATAATCATTTATAATGCAGTAAACCCATATCTACATTCATGTCTAGGGTTCCTTGCTTGTATGCACCTGCTGTGGAACTGCTGAAAGTACACATGGGAGAAACTAAGAGCTCAGTAGGGTAGAAATCCTATACTATGATGTTTTTTGAATGTACAAGTATTATTTATTGACTTCCTATTTACTCTAACACTGTGTGTCAGAGTATGTATAAGATTGATAATAAGCTCTCACATTATCTATCCATTTTCTATGAATGGATCATCATACAGGGTCATGAGGAACCTGGAGAATATCCCAGGGAGCATCGAGCACAAGAATTGGCCCTGGATGGGGTGGCAATCCTTCACATATACATTCACACACCAATTCATATCCTACAGACACTTTGGACATGCCAGTCAGCCTACCATGCATGTCTTTGGACTGTGGGAGGAAACCGGAGTACCCGGAAACCGGAGGAAACCCCTGCAGCACGGGGAGAACATGCAAACTCCGCACACACAGGGCCATGGTGGGAATCAAACCACCAACCCTGGAGGTGTGAGGCTAACCACTAAGCCACCGTGCACCCTGTTCTCATATTATACTACATACTACTACATCAAAATCATGTAATCATATAAAGTTTTTTGAATTAGAGATGGAACCAAACTTTAGGTGACTCCATACTTCTCTCCAGCACTATGTTTGAGCATGACTGCTTTACAGAAAGATTTTCAAAGACGTCCCTTTGGCAGTGATGGTGCAGTCTCAATTAAAAAAAAAAAAGGATTGGTTTACAAGGCAGAGAATGTCTATTTTAAACTGGATATTGATTAATGGTTTCTAATAAACTATTGAAAGTGCTTGTTATACAGTATGTCAATATTGAGTAAGTTAAAAAAAAAAAAACAGCTAAAAAAAAACGGATAAATCCACAGTGGCAGAATCCCAGTGAGAGCCATTAATCATACGTGATGTGAGTGGTGGAATCACTTTCAGCATCAGAGGTAGAGCTACAAGACAATCTGGAAAGTAACTGCCACAAGCTCCAATGTCAACAGCAAGAAGATAAACAGATCACAGTGATGGATGAGAGAGAAAGGGAGAGAAATACGTGAAAAGAGAAATGTGTGGAGGACACAGAAATGCTGAAACTTGAGTTTTAGTTATTGATGGAAAACTCTGAATCCCACATTTACAGATTAGGGAACAGTATCCCCTTTAGTTTTATTAAACCTATTTTATCTTATGAGAAATGTGTGCTTAGTTAAACATACTGTAGTTAGAATATTTTAGATTTCAATGAAATTATATATAACAAACGGTATGTTAACCCTGCCTCAACCCTAACATTAACTTTGGTATGGTCCCATATGACTTGAGTCAATCTGTGTGAGACAATGTTGTATGAAAAGCATGGTGAGATATTCATTTTCAGGCTTTATTTTCCAAAACAAAACAACATGTACTTTCTAGGAAACAATTCCAGAAAATACAGTATTCTGAGAAATAAGCTGCTATTTGACATTTCAAAAATAATTGTAAAGGTTGGACAAACAGCGCAACACACATGGATGCAAAGTTTTTCTAACTTTCATGAACTGCCTTTATCTCCTGCAGTTTCTAAGTACTTTGCCTGCACAAGTGATGATGGACCACTGTTTGAAACATCCTGTTTCTCACTATGAAACATTACAGAAGGTGTCAGTTGCCATATTATTACTTGAAATTTAAGAAATACACAGATGTGTCCAGAAACCTGGGAAAAAAATTGATGCTGGATATTGTTGCCTGAAAAAAGCAACACATGTAGCTTGAAGTGAGTTCTGTGAAATATACTGGAAGCTATATCTGGTTCAAGACATTCAGTGCTTCCTTTATTAGCCTCAGTGTGTCACAGATTATTCTGGCACTGCTTTTGTGTCTATGTTGTGAGGGCTGGGAGTTTATGAGGCTCAGAAATGTTTTGTTCAGAAAAAAATAGACTGCCTTGTCCTTCCCATGTCCCTGTGAGAATTGTAAGAGTTTAGGAGTTTATTCAGTGAGAGCTTATTCTCCTCTCTCATGGTTTTCTCATGGTTTCAGACATTTGTAGAGCTCAGGGCAAACCGCCTTTCCTTCAGATTAGTGCTTCAGTTGGGATAAACAGTCTGAGTCTTTCAGGGCTCAAGGAAATTGATTGAATAACATTTGTGTTCTTCAAGGCATGCAGTGCACTACCACGCTGTACTGACTGCTAATTGGAAATCACTCGCCAGCCACATTGGCCTTGACAACTTACCACAATTATGTTGAAGTGGCTCTCAGAGTGGAAATAAAAATGGCTGGCTATTAATCTGCTTAGTTTTGTACATACTGCAGTATGTATCAAGGTATAGAGTGGAATAAGATGAAAATTTCCCCCCAAGCAAACATAGACCAAAAATACATTTTTACATTATAGATAAGAGCAAATATAGCCAAATTGCACATAGTGTCCTTCCAAGAACTTGGTGTCAGCACCACTCTTGGATGAGGGCAAAGGTATATACAAACAATACAGCAGCCTGTAAGCATGTTCATATTAATTAGAGACCAACGGGGAGAATGACTTCTGCCCTCTGGTCTTTGGGGACTACCATCCACTTAAGGCAAATAACATAGCTGAGTCTTCAGCAATCCCAGCTGTAGGGTGGACTAGTGGACTGCTAGTGACTTTCCTGGATGTGTCTGTCAGGGAGAAATGCTGTTTCTCCTGCAAGGTATTTTCCATTTACTTAAAAGCAGAGGTGCTGTGGAGAGTTTCATTTTGTTGAGTGTTGGGTATACATTTGTGGTCATTACTCTTCACTGACCACTCAGTCATGCAGGAGAGCAACTATCCATATACTTTTCTGAGTAAGATCAAATAAATGCACTGCATTCTGAGTTGGTTAAGGAATGCTGGAGTGGTTTAACCCCTAGTCTTATTTTGAAATGAAATTACACCACATTGCAGAAAGCAGTGTTGGATGACATATGAAATGCCAAAGTTTATGATGGGGTTGTAGAGATTTCA